AGCTCCCGGAGCAGGAGGGCCGCGCTTCCCTCCCCCGCTCCCCGGCCTGGTACCGGCCTGGGTACGACCGGGGTACGCCCCAGCTTGGGGTACGCTTCCCCTGGGCAGGGCTGAGCATGGGCTTAGTCTGGTTTTGGCTAATAATATTACAATTGATAATCAGCGTGAGCTCGGTCGCTTTTTAAAATGCATTTGTTCCGTTCCGAATTTCTTAAAATGCAGTTTTGAGCGCTGTAGGATGGGCAACCAGTGAGTGGTGTGCTTTTAATTATTATAAGCAGGCCTGGCGTGGACACCAAGCAAACCTGCAGAGGTTCAGAATGAGTCAGGAGGCTTGGTGACTGCACTGATTCCTGCAGAAACATTTCCATCCCATGCTACTAATTAAGGGCAAATTATTCTGTCTGTAATTTGCAGAAAAGGTCTAGTCTAAAAATGCAAATGCAGGTCTACGAAGAAATTCCTGTTGTGCTTATAAAATCAAAACCAAACAGTCCTGCTTACCTAAGAACCTAATTCTGCTACTATTTATGCATAGTATTAAACTTGAATATACCAGTAGCTTTTTTTGAGAACAATTTGTGAGATTTCAGTCTTGAACTTATGTGTGGATAGTTTTAGTTCCTGTTCCAGAGTTGCAAGATACTTTTACTGGCTATTAGTGTTTCTACTACACCATAATGAAGAGTGAATAATAAGGTAATCTTTCAATTGAATTTGTATGAAATCATGGAAATTACGCTTTAAAAGTGTCATTCACAAGGGTAAGCTCTTAATTATAGATTCTTAAATGATTCAGCGTGAAGAGCCTTGATCAAATGGAATACCCTTTCATGATCTAGTTCTTACATCGTAAGACCCAATTGTGACATGAACAGTAAGATGTATTCATAGCATATCTGTAAGATGTGTGGTATTCACCAAATCTGCATTTAATTCATTTTGTATGTTTATTTTTTTATTGCCTGTCACTTCCTGAGTGTGTTATTCAGGCTTGCTCATTTTATAAACCCAGGTTTGTAACGCAGGCATCTTGAGTGGGTATTTCGCTGCTTTGGGCAAGGATGTGCCCTGTCTTGCACTGATTAAGCCATTGCAGAGGCACGGCTCAATCTGTGGTGTTCGCATAAGGCTTTCTCTTTTTTAAAGTTATGAGTAATTTTAATGTAGTTCCCACTTCTTGTTAATCCAGTTCACCCCGGCGAGTACAGCAGGCCTCCCTGAGTATGAGAAGGCGAGGGCTGACTGCCTGTACCTGCAGTGATACTGCATACCTGGAGTATCTGTGCGTCCTTGGTTGGCGGTAGAGCCCCCGTGCCTCATCCTGTGTTTTGATGAGTCTGGAAACTTTGTCCACCCTATCTTTCCTTTCATCAATATTTCACGAATACTGAAACTGTAGTACTGTTCAAAAGCATGCTGTGTCACCATGCTCATATTCTATTCTATACTGATTGATTGCCCTGCCCACAAAAGTCTGTACCAGTAAAACATCGCACGTGTATAAGGGATGCAGAAAGGGAGGGCGGGCAGGCAAGATCTCCTGAATCTGCTAAAAGAAAAGTTTTTGAAATGTCTTTAATATTGGATAAAACCACTGCTGGCCGAATAGATGTGGGAGTGAATTAATCACACACATGTTTAGCCAACCTGGTATGCAGCTTAAATAACGACGGTGAGGACCAGCCTTTCTGGGTGATGGCATTGCTCAGCTCTTGCAGTTGGATAGCAGAATGTTTTTCGAGTTAGCCAGGCTGAAGTGGATAGGCTGATGGAACAGGAGATGATAGCATGGGTTTGTGTGGTGAATTTTAGAAGCCCTTTTCAAATTGTTTTGGCCATATTGCAGTGCTGTGCTGACTCATAGTTGTCTCAACCTACTTTTCACCAATATGTAAAATAAATCCAGATATGGAGACTGATTTCATGAGCTTGTTAAACTCTGGCTTGTTGTCATTAGAGTAAAAAACCTCTTCTGTGAAGTTTGAGTCCTCAATTGTTTTCCTTTAGCAACAGCACTAACTAGCTTTTTAAATGAAATTATGAGGGGGGAAAAAAAGTGTTTAGTTTTGCAGTGGTAGCATTTTCACACAGGTAGTTTTCCCATCTTGTGCTGTCTCTTTTCAACAGTGTGTCCAATGTTTTTGGCATTCAAAGTTGAAAATAGTGAATAGTGGAGCCTTGGGTGTATCCATAATGTGTTTCCTTATTAAGCCTTAGTTTTGTGGGGGATTATCAACCTAGAATTTCTTTTTGACTCCTGTTTGTCCTGAAGTAGAATTGATTTACTACTCAGTTTTGCTTATTTCAATTTACATGGAAGTTTAAATGTTCTAACGTACTGGAAATTATATTTTTAGGTCAGTGTATTTAAAAAAACAACCAATGAAAAAAAAAGACAATTTACACTCTACAGGAATCATGGCTCTGGGGTGGAAAGTGTTAATATATTAAAATAAAGGTGTAATTATACTAACTGTATATGGATTTTTGCCTTGCCATTTTTAACTTTGAATTCCCTTTGGTGTTGTTTATGGACCTTTAAAAATATTTTAAAACAGAATACTTCAATTTACATAATTATAACTTATTTCAGTAAAATCAATGTATAATGTTACTGGCAAGCAAAGTGGAGATAGTTTTCTGAGACTTAAAAGAACTGAGCGTTTTTCAGGACACATGATGCCAATATGTTTGCTGCTTTCTATTTATTTTGTCCTGTTTTGCAGGTGGAACTTGACGTCTTGTGGAACCAGTGTAGCCAGCTCAGAGTGCAGTGAGGAGCTGTTCTCATCGGTTTCAGTTGGTGATCAAGATGACTGTTACTCTCTATTGGATGACCAGGAGTTCACCTCTTTTGATTTGTTCCCCGAGGGTAGTGTCTGCAGTGACGTCTCTTCTTCTATCAGCACATACTGGGATTGGTCAGACAGTGAGTTTGAATGGCAGGTAAACTAGTTCCACTCTAAGCATAAAATTTTGTATAGACTATTAAGTGCTGGGTTTAGCTTTAATTGAAAAGTTCTCAGCGTTTGTTTCTTGGTAACTACTGAATGTAAGAGCAGATATCTGAATCTTCAGCCATAGAGATGTTCGTTCCATTTTATTCCAGCGTTCTTAATCTGGAGGAGAGACCGAAGGTCAGCTCTTCAAAGAGGGATGCTTACATATTATGGTAGTTTGATTTTAGTGACCAACATGTGTCTTGTAGCCATGAGCTTAGATCCTTTGTACAGAGGATCTGCCCTGCTAATGAAATCTGGTTATAGATGTCTGCTTCCAGTGATTTGGTTGTATTAAATCTTCCTCTGGAATGGAGCTGGCACCTAGGTAAAGTGTAGAAGCTCTTGCCATAGCCTATTTCCATCTTTTTTTTCTGTGCAGTAAGAGTACAGAGCTCACTTTGTCTCACCAGGATGGGAAAAGTGTGAAGGTGAATCACGTCCTCCTTTTTACTAGTCTGTGTTGGATGCAGTCCTGGTCAGGTATCTCTAGTTTGTGGAGGTCTTTGTTCATCAGTTTTTCAATTGTTACATGCAAATCTTTTTGTATGTTATAGACTTAAATTGACTTTTTATATTATAGACTTAAATCAATTGTGAATGTATACATAACTTTGAAACAGGAAATGTGGTTCTTCAGAAT